GCCCTCGGGAGCCCTGTGAGAGGCTTCGGGGGCGTTGACGTCGTCGAGGGCCAGGTTCTTGTCTTCTACGTTTTTGGAGTTGGCACGTGTAGTTCTCACCATTTTGGTAGAGGGCTAGTGTTTGGCGAAGGGGGATGGTTTCTTACTTGATCGTTCGACCTCTCAACGAGAGCACCAAATGATGGATAGTGTACCCGGGGGGTAGCTTATCCGAGGGGTTATTACGGGAATAATAAGAGAGAAGTCAGAGCAAGTAAATATAGAGAGAGAAAGTATATTATAAAGTGTGGAGTGTTTTCAGCGTGGTTACAAATGGGGGAATGGGGTGCTATTTATAGTAGCAATAAATGCCGGACAGGGACACGTGTCAAGCGCCCATTGGCCGAGAGGTCACCTCAACTGGTTGGCGCTGGCAGCCGCATGTGGCCGCATTTAATGCGGCTGTTGGATGGGACGTTTGTACAGGTACAGGGTACGGTGATCTGTACGCATGTGGTGCGGATATCATATCGGGAAAGGTGCCCTCGGCTGTAGAGGACTAACCGAGGACTCTGAGTACTGGGGACCCTCTTGGTGCCGAGGGCTAGTGATTTTCGCCGTTTTCCCCAGTCATCTTATTTTCCTGTTTTGGCCCTGGTTCCAAAATCAAGGGTAAGTCATCGAACCAGGGTAGTATGTATCGTTTCCAACTACTACGTACTCCGGTACATTTTTTTTGGAAACGATAAGCATGCCTGCCGCAATTGCCGGATGACTTACCCTGGTTCGATACATACTACGTACATGCAATCCTATCCGTACTCAACCAGCGAGAAAGAAGCCGGAAGGATACCGGCTGTCATTCCGGCGGCCATTTGGTTACCGGTCAAGTCTCGATCGAGGTACCCCAAGCTGGACGGCCGGCCACGATCAAGGGAGCAGAATAAAGAGTCAGTCACCGGTAACCCAACATCATACGCCGGTAGAATCGAAAGAAGACGCGCGGTAGCTAGGACAAGCTAGATATCATCGCCGGCAACGTAAGTGATCGAAGGTAACTAACTGCTTATGTAGTACTCATATATACAAGAACGAAAACATAATCCCTCCTAGCCGGACTGGCCATGTCGATTCAATTTTCCTCGCGATGCTTACCTGGAGTATTATTTTTAACACTATATTACTATCATATTCGTCCCATTTACAAATTTGATCATTTTTTTATTAAACTATTTCATTTCATTTGATTAACTAGAATGTCAACTTTTAATTACTCCATATTCTAATTCGGAGCTTGCAATTTTGAAGATATTTTAATGTGGTTTGTGAATATGTAAATTTTGATTATTAAAACTTAAATTATTTATCAATAAGGAAGATTTAACTTTAACATTGATTTTGCAAATCAATTTGGGACAGTAACCACAGTAAAAGACTAAAAATTTTAGGGCATGTTATTTGAAATTTTTATTTAAAAAGGTTTACAATTTGTGACTTTTATCATTATTTAATTGCCTACTAGTTTGATACTCCATCCGTCCCGTTGGAATGTTCTCGCTTTCCTTTTTTGGATGTCCCGTTGGAAAGTTCCCATTTCCCTAAATGGAAAGTTATCCTACATCAAAACAGGGTCAAACAGTGCAAAACAATGTCCAATAGTGTTGAAACAGTGCCAAACAGTGTCGAAACAGTGTCAAAACAGTAAAATTTACCCCCTCGTAAGTTTATTTCCTTAATATGTGTGTAGGTCAAACCGGGAACATTCCAATGGGACGGAGGGAGTACTTGATTTTATTTAGAACGTGACAAAAGATAAAAAAAAGTATGTTAAATTATACTTTCTCCAATCATTTTTATTCTTTGTTGTTTTCTTAAATCATTCTTAAGTTACCTTCTCTCTACGAGCATATAAGTAAAGAGAGTGTTTGACAATTAGTTGTTGACGATTGACAGTTTATGTTGATCGATAGATGACAACTGATTTAGTTGGTTACGTTATTTTAGACTTCGTTTGGATACCGGCGTTTCAACCTAAATTCAGCGTTTTTGGATGACCCAAATTAAACCGCTGTTTTTTCATTTAGCAAGTAGAGGTTAGCAGCAGTGTTTGGGACAAAATCGTCAAAATAAAAACGCTGCAAATTAGAGTGTTTAGGTTGTAGCGAATTGAAACAATTATTGAATTTCACATGTTGCCCTCTCATCTTCATATTCTGTTTTCTTTGCAGCCACTTGAAGATCTACCATTTGATTTCATCTGTGCCTCTGTAGTTTTTCTCTTGTGCAAGACGGATACTGAAAAAGCCCTTTGGATTTCTCTCAAAGGTACGTATTGATCCTTCATCTAGAACAATACGTTGGATCTATGTTTTGATCTATGTTTCACAGAAACGCGAAAATCATGAGAAACTGGAAACGGCAAACGTCAATTTTTGCACAAAAAGCGTCTGTTTGAATCAGAGAGTTTTCAAAAAGTTTCTGTAGATTTTCTGAAACAGAAAAATACTCCCTGAGAGTTTCTGTGCTACACAGGTTTTGATTTCTAGGTAGCTATGTACTACTCTAAGATTTACACTTTTTCAAGTTATTTATCCTTCTGCGTCCATTATTTAATAGATTGTCTAAGAATAATTACATGTCACTATCTCTGTTTACAAATAATTGGATATACGGTCATTACATAGTTATGATTTATGAAATTAATTAATATTACCTCCGTTCCATTTTACGGAAGAGTTATTTTACTCTCCGTGAATGTAAATAAGAAGAGATGTTTTTTTTTCACGGGTAAAGGCCTACTGCCGACTGAGTCACCGTGATTTACTCCCCCCACCATCCTGTCGGGTCGGGGTGGGGGGGCCCTTGGGGTTGGGGATTCAACCTTTTTGGACGAAGAAGAGATGTTTTCTTACGGGAGAGAGAAATGGATTGATTGAGAATATTGTATTATTTTCGTTCCATTTTATGTGTCCTATTTTAAATTGACACAATTATTATTGAAATTATTGAAAAAGTAAAAATTGTTATTGTGATTTGAGTATATTAAAGTGAAATGTTGTATATCACATACTTTCTCCGTTCTCTTTTAATTGCAACAGTCAACATTTCACGTTTGCCAATGCACAAATTTGACCATCAATATCTTTCATTCTTTATTAGTAAAAAATTATAAAAAATATATTTTCAAAATTTAGAATGAGAAGAATTTAATAATATGTTTTTAAAAGTTAATTTAGAATACATTAATAAATAAAATATAGTCAAAGTAGAATATGTGAATAGTGCAAAAAATCCAATGTTGCAATTAAAAGAGAACGGATGTAGCATTTCTTTCCAAAAAATATGACACCTATTTTGAGACAACTCAAAATGAAAAGTAAGACATGTAAAATGAAACGGGGCAGTAGAACACTAAAACAAATGGAATTATGGAAACGTCAAACCTAAAACCTAGGTTTCCTTGCTTTTTCTATTTTAGCTGTTTGACATAAAAAGCCAACTCAAAAGATCACTCTATCAAACACAAATAAAAATTGGCTAATCGGCTACAAACCAAACACTCCCAAAATGTTTTGTGATTGAAGTGGTTGCATTGATTAATTCTGATGATTTATGAGAAAATTGTATTTAAAATATATTTTATTAATAAAATCAAGAAAAATTATATGAAAAATAGCTAAAATAATCATCTATAGTAACTTCAGCTAATACAGCCAGAAAAGTAACTCCAATCTTATTTTTCCTTATTACTCGTATTACACAGTTCAGCGCGAGAAATCAAAACTTGCGTGTTTAATGAAAAGGCTTGTTAATAAGCCTGATAAACTGAAAAACAAGGTCGTCAAACAGGCTCCAAATCGCTTTCCTAAACACGTCAAACGTACGAAACTTTCCTTTTAAAATTTATATGAAACCATAATAAAGCCCAAGTAAGAAGTTAAAGGAGTGATATTTTGTTATATAGGATTTACATATGTATGTATATCTATAAAAATTGCCCCCCAATTTTAAAGCATAATATAAACCTGGGTAAATGGTCACATTGGACATAATGTAAGCACAGCCCTAGGACCATTAGGACGCGTTTGGGAGTTTGGAAGGAAGTTCCCTCAGGGAAGGGGAGGGAAAACTTATGAGGTATGTTGTGGGAGGAGAAAGAAGGAGAGGGTGATGAAACACTTCTTTGTATTTCGGAGTACTAAATTTGAAAGAATAGAGTTTTTGAATGAATTATAATTAAAATCACTTTAAGATAAGATAAATTCAAATAATTGAACTGATATTTATTTTTAATTGAACTTAAATTTCTATTTCATTAATTATCATTCAAAATCCTTCAAATTGAGGGAACTCAAAAATGACGGTTTTGGAAGGTCAAGAAATCCCTCTAGAACTATCTCCTCCAATGAAAAGGAGATACATGATGTATACCCCAAACTATTTGCCGTTTTAGTGTTAAAATTTGTCCCAAAGTAGTTTTGTTATGAGATTTGAAGACATGATGTATACATTCTTCCCTGAATGCCCATATTTAAGTAATTTTTTAAAATGAAATGATTAGTACTCCGTAGCAGAATACTGGACACAAGATCCTTTATTATGTCACTCCAAAATATTTACATTCCATATATTGAGATACATACCAACCATCTTTGGGAAAAAGTTTTATAGTTCTTAAAAGGTATTGATACTATATAGTCATAAGACATTCAAAATAATGGTGGATACGCTTTTTTAATGACTCATTAATTTTTGAGAAAATTTCTAGGTGAAAAATAATTAGGGAGGGAGTAGTAAAATGAATAAGTTGATCTCCATATTTATCTCACTTTTTCTTATTACTTTTAATACTAGGAAAGTAAAAGGGGCAATGTTTGGAAATCTATGACCAATTTAGTATCATCTTAAAAAACAAAGTTACGCTTAATGGACCACTATTGGAGAATGGAGCCATGGAGGGAGTAACTTGTCTATAAGATAAAATGATAAAGAAATTGACGGTATTTAAACAGATTCTTTACCGGATCCTTGAACTGCCCGTTAACTTGTTGAATAACCTCTTTCATTCCCTCAAGCCTTCCTAGGATTGCATCCTCACCAAATTCATCACCAACTCCAAACAGGCGACCCATCTGCAATTAATAATACAAAACAAGCCAATTCAAGATTACCCATTTAAATGTCAGACGGTTGATCAAATCGAGTGATAAGTGTGTTGCTTTGATATACAGTTAAAACTAATGCCAGTAAATGAATAAAGGGTAGATTATTTAGCACCTCAGTTATGAGGCATTATCAAACTTAGTCCCTTGTCCACGAGAGAGAGAGGGGGGGGGGGGGAGAAGGGGGATTAAATCTGACATTAAAACTACAACTAAAATGTTTGTTAATTGTTTTTGCAAATATGATAAAGAATGACTAAAATTACTAAATTTGCACAGTTCATCATCATCATTACCCCAGTGCCACAAAGGCTCCCACACCTTCAGTGGGGTGGGGGAGTCGGATGTATGCAGTCTTACCCCTGAACCTAAAGCAGGGAGAGACTATTTCCGGATGACCCATAGTAAATTTGCACAGTTGAATGACTAAAAACCAATCCAGCCAAGAATCATCACAGCCCATGACCGCATTCTAATAAAAGCAAACTTTTTAAGTAGAAGTAAAAAGAAGAAAGGCAAATTAGGCAACATAATACATTTTAGGTTGATAACAGACCTGACCAAGCAAGCCACCAAACTTACTCTTCAAACTCATCATTTTGACCAGGCCTTTCTCTAGGGTTGAGGGAAATTGTAATAATCGGAGCGTGTGGCCTGTAGGTGCAGTATCAAATACTATAACAGAGTAATCCATGGTCTGCACTAATCTGTCACAACAATCAGCAAAATAATTCAATAACCTAGTACTCGCCGAGTAGACAACTCAGCCGATGCAAGCAGTTCGAAAATATAGATACTTTTCCCACCTAGAATATGATATACTCCGTAATAAGACTCAGCGAATGAGAAAATAAAACTTACTTTAGCATCTCCGCAAAACTCATGGCCTCATCAATTCCAGGAATAGCATTTGCCAAATCAGACAAAAGCCCATCCATTCCACTAGAACTAGCACCTTCTTCATCTTCTAAATTCGGATCAACTTCCTACATACCAACCAACAAAACAACAAACAGTTCACACAAAGGAAACAAATTAAAACCTGGAAACAATGAAAAGTATCATTGAAATTTAGAAAAGCCCCACCTTTTAGGCTTGTTTGGTTGGGGATATTTGACTGTGGGCGGTTGATTCTTTTTTAAATAAATAATTTATATTCAAAAGTCTTAAGGGTATGTTTGGTGGGGAGTTGGAGGAGAGGGAAGGATGAGGAGGGTTTATGACCCCTTTCTTGTTTGGGAGTTCACAAATTAGAAGGGATGGTTTAAGAGGGTTCTTGTAACCCTTAAAACCCTTCAAGCGCTCAATAATTCCCCCAAAAGTAAGGGATTTAGAAGAATGACTAATTAAATGATAACTTTAGCCCAATTTAAAACGAATATAACTTCAATTATTTGAATTCATCATATTTTGAAACTGTTTTAATAATTCCTTCCTAACCAATCTTTTTCCAGATTTGTAACTTCCCCTCACCTTCCTCTCCTGCGACTAACCTTCAAAGCCATCCCCTCCTCTTCCGCCAACTCCCAAACATACCCTTAGACTAAACACTGACTACTCCTATGTTTAGTTACTGATAAGATCACATTTTTCTAAGTTTTTCATCTTTACTTGCTTTGCCAGCTCCAACCATCCAAAGTTCCAAACTTATTGCCAGAGTTAAAACAAAACGTCGCCTCCTTACCCCTCCCCTCCAAAACCCCCAACCAAACTAGGGCTAAGGTTCACACATTAATTTCAGACCATTTGCAATTCCACAGATAATCAATGAAATAAAGTTTCCCAATTCATAAAGGAATTGAGACCTTCACCAGTAATGAGGAAAAATGGACAATTAAAGAGTGGCGGGGTACGAACCATGGCATAGAGATTGGAAAAGCCATTGACCAGGGTAGGAGCCTTAGTGAAGCGTTGTTGGAAGGCGTCGCTAAGATTGTGGGCGGGATCAGTGGAGATGATGAGGACCGAGGATCGAACCTGAGAGAGTAGGATACCGATGATGGAACTGCAAGTCGTCTTCCCAACCCCACCCTTCCCCCCTACAAACACCCACTTCAACGTCTCCTGATCTAAAACGTTCTTCACTGTCCCATCTGGTGATTCCTGTGAGGCCATGAATCGGCAGCTCCTCCAAAGTCCCAAACTATAGAGAATGTTACTTGTAAGCAGGCAGCTGTACACAGGAGATCCGATAATTGTAATATTTTTGGGAAAAGGTGGAAATAACGGTAAAGAGGAAATCTTCTTCATTCAATTTAGTTTAATAAATATTTCTTGCTAAGTTGTTTTTTAAATGCAAGATTGTATTTTCTTCACTATTCACATGTTCTACTTTATTTTTAGAGAAAATGGAAACTAATAATTCAACCTTTTAGCGTTATTCTTACGATAGTCTCATCTTTTCATTATTTATGAATAATCTAACATTTGCACTTCATCTTCATTCACTGGTCCCTGACCGGTATATGATCTGTTATTCCAAATTATTTTCTTATATTTTCAAAACATTATGTGATTATAAGGTGAGAATTATGGTATAATGTTTTACAAAGATAAGAAAATAACTTAGAATAACAGGTCATAAATCGATCAGAGACTAGTGAATGAAGATGGGGTGCAAAAGTTGGATTATTCATGAATAATGAAAATGTGGGACTATTGTAAGAAGACCACTAAAAGGTTGGATTATTAGTTTCCATTTTCCCTTATTTCTATTTTATTTATTAATGTATTATAAATTAAATTTAAAAAAAATTGTTAAATTCCTCTCATTTTAAATTTTTAAAATCTAATTTTAGTTATTTTTTATTAATATAGAGTGAAAGATATTAATGATCAATCTTGTGCGTTGGCAAACGTGAAAAGTGGACTGTTGCATTTAAATAAAAACGGAGAAATTAAAGTATATACCAAGTATATACTATAGGACACAAAAACTCTTTACTCATCAACCCAATCTCAAATAAACTTTTATTTGGGATTTTTCTTAATTCAAGTATGTTACTCTGTATCACTTTTGTCACTTTCCTTTTTAAATAAAAAATTTGTATCTAACTTCTATACAAATTTCGATCACATACTTTTTATTTTATTATTGTATGTGTAAGTAAATTTTTTTAAAGGATGTTTAAGTAAACTTTGTCAAAGAATATAAGGATTGGAGGGAATAAATGGATAAAAATGTGACTCACAAGTTAATAAATTTGAAAAAACATAATATCATTATTACTTTCAGATTTTTATATCAATATTAATTTTTTATGCAATTGTCATATTCTTGTGTCAATAAATGTCGATAAAAGTGTCAATGTCACCACAACAAATGCCACTTTTGTTATGCAACATGTTACATGTCACTATGATTGACCTTTTTTTTAAAAAAAATGGTTGACTTTTTTATGTTATTTTCTTGATGAATGGTGTTAAAGTTTGAACAATAATGTTAAATACTATGGTATTATATTTGTGTTAATTTATACTCTGTAAATTTTATACTTTTATAAAAGAATTTTTAATAAATAATATACTCATATAATTATATGGTCATTAAAAAATACTCCGTATTTTAATATGCTCATTTATCAAGAAAAGCCAATCTGGCTTAATTTTTGGATTTAGGGAGTACGTATCAACAAACAAAAAATATTTTAGAAAAGGTGCAAATGAGCCCTTGAACTAACCGTAAAAATGCAAATCACCCATTTTACAGGAGGCTCCGTCCGGCCGTCGCCATTTGGGGCGGTTTCTGGTGGAATTTTCTTATGAATTTGTTTGAACATCTTCTTCATTAAGTCTAGTTTACCCATATCAAATTTCAACTAAAACTTCAATCGAGAAGGTGGTCAAATGATTTTCTGAAATATACTGCGCTGTTTAACTGCGCAGGTATCTTCAAACATTTATTTGACTTCCTTGTTGATTGCATTTTTGATAAAATTTGGTACGCGTAAACTAAATTTAAACTAAATTTGATTGCATTCCTGATCTTCCTCTTTACGGTTATTTCCACCTTTTCCCAAAAATATTTCAATTATCGGATCTCCTGTGTACAGCTGCCTGCTTACAAGTAACATTCTCTATAGTTTGGGACTTGGGAGGAGCTGCCGATTCATGGCCTCACAGGAATCACCAGATGGGACAGTGAAGAACGTTTTAGATCAGGAGACGTTGAAGTGGGTGTTTGTAGGGGGGAAGGGTGGGGTTGGGAAGACGACTTGCAGTTCCATCATCGGTATCCTACTCTCTCAGGTTCGATCCTCGGTCCTCATCATCTCCACTGATCCCGCCCACAATCTTAGCGACGCCTTCCAACAACGCTTCACTAAGGCTCCTACCCTGGTCAATGGCTTTTCCAATCTCTATGCCATGGTTCGTACCCCGCCACTCTTTAATTGTCCATTTTTCCTCATTACTGGTGAAGGTCTCAATTCCTTTATGAATTGGGAAACTTTATTTCATTGATTATCTGTGGAATTGCAAATGGTCTGAAATTAATGTGTGAACCTTAGCCCTAGTTTGGTTGGGGGTTTTGGAGGGGAGGGGTAAGGAGGCGACGTTTTGTTTTAACTCTGGCAATAAGTTTGGAACTTTGGATGGTTGGAGCTGGCAAAGCAAGTAAAGATGAAAAACTTAGAAAAATGTGATCTTATCAGTAACTAAACATAGGAGTAGTTAGTGTTTAGTCTAAGGGTATGTTTGGGAGTTGGCGGAAGAGGAGGGGATGGCTTTGAAGGTTAGTCGCAGGAGAGGAAGGTGAGGGGAAGTTACAAATCTGGAAAAAGATTGGTTAGGAAGGAATTATTAAAACAGTTTCAAAATATGATGAATTCAAATAATTGAAGTTATATTCGTTTTAAATTGGGCTAAAGTTATCATTTAATTAGTCATTCTTCTAAATCCCTTACTTTTGGGGGAATTATTGAGCGCTTGAAGGGTTTTAAGGGTTACAAGAACCCTCTTAAACCATCCCTTCTAATTTTTGAACTCCCAAACAAGAAAGGGGTCATAAACCCTCCTCATCCTTCCCTCTCCTCCAACTCCCCACCAAACATACCCTTAAGACTTTTGAATATAAATTATTTATTTAAAAAAGAATCAACCGCCCACAGTCAAATATCCCCAACCAAACAAGCCTAAAAGGTGGGGCTTTTCTAAATTTCAATGATACTTTTCATTGTTTCCAGGTTTTAATTTGTTTCCTTTGTGTGAACTGTTTGTTGTTTTGTTGGTTGGTATGTAGGAAGTTGATCCGAATTTAGAAGATGAAGAAGGTGCTAGTTCTAGTGGAATGGATGGGCTTTTGTCTGATTTGGCAAATGCTATTCCTGGAATTGATGAGGCCATGAGTTTTGCGGAGATGCTAAAGTAAGTTTTATTTTCTCATTCGCTGAGTCTTATTACGGAGTATATCATATTCTAGGTGGGAAAAGTATCTATATTTTCGAACTGCTTGCATCGGCTGAGTTGTCTACTCGGCGAGTACTAGGTTATTGAATTATTTTGCTGATTGTTGTGACAGATTAGTGCAGACCATGGATTACTCTGTTATAGTATTTGATACTGCACCTACAGGCCACACGCTCCGATTATTACAATTTCCCTCAACCCTAGAGAAAGGCCTGGTCAAAATGATGAGTTTGAAGAGTAAGTTTGGTGGCTTGCTTGGTCAGGTCTGTTATCAACCTAAAATGTATTATGTTGCCTAATTTGCCTTTCTTCTTTTTACTTCTACTTAAAAAGTTTGCTTTTATTAGAATGCGGTCATGGGCTGTGATGATTCTTGGCTGGATTGGTTTTTAGTCATTCAACTGTGCAAATTTACTATGGGTCATCCGGAAATAGTCTCTCCCTGCTTTAGGTTCAGGGGTAAGACTGCATACATCCGACTCCCCCACCCCACTGAAGGTGTGGGAGCCTTTGTGGCACTGGGGTAATGATGATGATGAACTGTGCAAATTTAGTAATTTTAGTCATTCTTTATCATATTTGCAAAAACAATTAACAAACATTTTAGTTGTAGTTTTAATGTCAGATTTAATCCCCCTTCTCCCCCCCCCCCCCCCCCCTCTCTCTCTCTCGTGGACAAGGGACTAAGTTTGATAATGTCTCATAACTGAGGTGCTAAATAATCTACCCTTTATTCATTTACTGGCATTAGTTTTAACTGTATATCAAAGCAACACACTTATCACTCGATTTGATCAACCGTCTGACATTTAAATGGGTAATCTTGAATTGGCTTGTTTTGTATTATTAATTGCAGATGGGTCGCCTGTTTGGAGTTGGTGATGAATTTGGTGAGGATGCAATCCTAGGAAGGCTTGAGGGAATGAAAGAGGTTATTCAACAAGTTAACGGGCAGTTCAAGGATCCGGTAAAGAATCTGTTTAAATACCGTCAATTTCTTTATCATTTTATCTTATAGACAAGTTACTCCCTCCATGGCTCCATTATCCAATAGTGGTCCGTTAAGCGTAACTTTGTTTTTTAAGATGATACTAAATTGGTCATAGATTTCCAAACATTGCCCCTTTTACTTTCCTAGTATTAAAAGTAATAAGAAAAAGTGAGATAAATATGGAGATCAACTTATTCATTTCACTACTCCCTCCCTAATTATTTTTCACCTAGAAATTTTCTCAAAAATTAATGAGTCATTAAAAAAGCGAATCCACCATTATTTTGAATGTCTTATGACTATATAGTATCAATACCTTTTAAGAACTATAAAACTTTTTCCCAAAGATGGTTGGTATGTATCTCAATATATGGAATGTAAATATTTTGGAGTGACATAATAAAGGATCTTGTGTCCAGTATTCTGCTACGGAGTACTAATCATTTCATTTTAAAAAATTACTTAAATATGGGCATTCAGGGAAGAATGTATACATCATGTCTTCAAATCTCATAACAAAACTACTTTGGGACAAATTTTAACACTAAAACGGCAAATAGTTTGGGGTGTGACAACATGTAAAGACTAAAATGTAAATTGTCGAGTTCTTTTTGTTATATTCTACTATGTATAATATATATTACAAAATAGGTTCCTCATCATGTCTCCTTTGACAGGACTTGACAACCTTTATCTGTGTATGTATCCCCGAATTCCTCTCACTATATGAGACTGAGAGGCTTGTGCAAGAACTTACTAGATTTGAGATCGACACACATAACATTATTATCAACCAAGTGATTTTCGATGAAGAAGGCAAGTATTATTGTGTTTGTCATTTTGTTCTTTTTCTCTGGTTGATACTATACAATAGATTAGGCTTTTGAAACTAACTCCAAGCACACTCCTATTCAGTGGTTCAGTCCAAATTGCTCAAGGCTAGAATGCGGATGCAGCAAAAATATTTGGATCAGTTTTACATGTTGTATGATGACTTCAACATTACCAAATTGCCATTGCTCCCAGAAGAGGTACTACAGATTCTCTTGTGCTCATTTGGAGTATAAAATATTGCACTTCTGGTCCCACTGCTATTAGAACATTTTCACCTTTAATCCCCGACTTTCAAAATTTTCTATCTTTGATGCAAAATTAGAAACTTCTTGCTATTTGTGGCTCTTCCAACCACCTATCTCTACGAAACTCTATTTCCACTGGACAAGTGATCAGAATGACCGGAAGTGGCAAGAAGTGGAAAAGTTAATGTGGCGGACAAAACATGTCCTAGAGTCATGGAGCCAAAAGTGAATTTTTATTATCGTAGAGTGTGTGTGTGTATTATCTTTTCATATAGCTTATCTTTTTATCTTTATTCCTTCTTTTCCTTTTGGTTGTGATATCATGTATCGATTCATGTTAGCCGACCCCAATATCTTTTGGGACTAAGGCTTGGATGTTGTTGTTGTTGTTGTTGTTGTTGTAGAGTGTGTGTGTGTATCACATACACATATACATACATACATACATCTAACCCAACTACTAATGTGGGTTAGTAGGTATGTGGGGTTGAGGCTCTGAAGGCATTTTCACACAATTTTACAATGCCCTACCGACCTTTGCTTCTGCGAAGCTCGCTAGAGGAAGTGGAACATAGAGTATCCATACTAAAGGATCACTTGAAAGCCGCTGAAGCAGAATTGGAAGCACTCAGAAAAGGTAAACAAAAAGTTTGAGGTTCTGAATTGGGAATAACTAGTCCGCAGCAGATGGCCATATTTTCTTCTTCTTCTTCTTCCTGAATGGGAGTGTTGATTTTCCTCCCCTCATTCATTTCATTCCATTATAGAGAACTTTCTACCAAGTTAATTAGCATTATTTTGAAATACAATAAATAATAAATTGTATAATTGGCAAACTGCACATTTCAGGTCCGTTTTTTATAGAGTATTTCATCTAACCAACATGAAAAAAATGTACAGAGTAGCAAGTACTACCTCCGTTCCTATTATAACTTCCAAATAGGTTTGGTACACAATTTAAGATAGTGCGTATTGTGTGGTGGAGAGTTGTGAAGAGGAGAGAAATGTGTAAAAAATGTTGTGAACCACAAATTCTTTACCAAAAAGGGAAAGTGGATGTTTTAATTGGAACGTACGAAAAAGGAAAGTTGGAAGTTATAATAGGAACGGAGAGAGTAGTTGTTAACTACTCGTACAATTTATAACCTGAATCCCAACAGAACCGTCTATATACACAATACATACGTGCATACATATATAAATAGATGTATCCATATTTTTTAAATTTTTTATGTTGTTGAAATGTTTTTTCTGCACAAAATAGAAAGAATTATATTTTTGTGCTATGAGTATTTTACCAATTTCACATTAGATTAATGTCTGTATTGCCCATATTTAAGTGATCCATGACTATTGTGTATGCATAAAAGAAAAAAAAATCAGGATATCAACGATCTATAAAATTAAGGATTAAGGAATGAAGTTGGAGATGTTACAGTTTTCTTCTAGGAACTCTACTTTTATTTGCTAGAATAATTTCGATAAATAATGAATCTAATTTATTCCAATATTATTTTTGAAAATAGAGGCAACAGATTTTAACCTATTTGGTGCCACTGTTTTAGTTTTTTTTTTTTAATTTGGTTCCAATTCTTTAATTGTAACTCTTTGATACCAATACTCTTGAAGGATGCATCATTTGGCACTAATTGTCTAATTCTTTAAATTATACGGTGTATCTAGTTGGTAGTTGGTACCAAAGTACCAAACATTTATAAACGGTGTATCATATATTCTTTTAACAAATGAATATATGATAAATATAAAAAAGACGTTGACGATTAACCACTTGTGACTTGTCTAGCTCAAGTATAAACATGAATATAATACAAGTTCAAAGAATTTATGATTCAGAAAAAATTTAATCGTAAATTGATGAGGAAGAAAACGTAAATTGATTTGTAATTCAGTTGAAGAGGTAGAGAAAAATTGTAACTAGATTCTTTGTAATTTGAACAAGAAGAAGATTAAGATCGCCACAATGTAATTAACTCATAAGAAAAATGCCATATCAGTCACTTTTTTAGAAGGTTTTGAAAGTAGTTTAATTTTCCTCTTAATATAGTACTCTGTATTAATAATGTCTAAACTTCAAAGGTAAAATATAGGCAAAAATTAAATAAAACAGGGCGTTTCTATAGGCATACAACGCTTATTAAATTGAGTTTTTTCCAAAATATAACTATAAATTATTACAATATAGTGTCTATGGTCACTTGATCTTAAAAACTGAGCATAAATTACTATGATTAAATTAGGGTTAATTCCCTAAATGGGACTAAATCAATGTTGAAATGAACAAATAGGACTCACATTTTATAGGATATAAAATGAACTGATTAGACAAAATTGTCCTTAATGAAATTACACCTCAAATAAAAAAATAAAACCCTTCCCTCGACTGCCTCTTCGTCGATCGATGCCTACAACTTAAACTCCAAACTGCCGCACCTTCCCTGCACGTCCGTCATGGTCCAGCCTGCCGCTGCAACCAAGTGAGAACGCTGCCATTGTCGTCGAGATTGCCGCTGCACTCTTCTGGTGAGGTGACTTAGCCCGTCCTACAATGAGATGGTGCCACCGTTAAATTTCTCTGTGGAGATGTTGACATCTTCTTAGTCATGGTTACCTCCTATGGAGTGTATGACATCAATTTCAGGTAAAATTGCAATTGTGGAAACAATAATGACAAAAAATGGCATTTTTATATGCTAAAAGATAGAATTTTCAAATCATGGCATTTTCACATTCTAGAGTCCAAATGTGAAATAGGAGAAGAAAAATGTAGTGTTGCTGATGAATTCAATTCAATGCCTAAAATGCCATAATTTCTGAAATTGTCAAAAATTTGGCATTTTCGAAGTTGTAATATGTCCATCTCCATAAAAAATGCCATAAATGTGTCAATTTTTACAAGTTGATAAAGATAAACAATAATAAAATTTAGATCGGAAATTCTTTGAACAAGAACCTAGAATTTTCATTCCCACAGGTTTCGAACTCAAAATGTTCAGATAAAAAAGTAAAACTTTCATTTAGAATCGAAAAGATATTCAAATAAATTAACAGAAAATACTAATAAATGAAAGAGGAGCAGAAATTAGAGGAAGAAGATGAGAAGGAGAAAAAAAGAAGATAAGGAGGACGAATTACCTGGAGAAGCGTTGGGGGGTAAGGTGTGCCGTGTGCGGAAGAAGATCTCCATGGGAGAGGAGCAGTGCGTTCGATGCGGAAATGATGCGGATCAATAGAAGATGGACCGGTGGGATTTTATTATAGCAAGGGTAAATTGGTAACAAGGAGTCCTATTTAGGAAAAATAAAACATTAACTCCTATTTAGGAATTTTGATTATAATTTAGTCCTATTTAGGGTAAATAACTTGATGGATAAGTGTACCCGGGGGGTATCTATCCGAGGGGTTACTACGAGTAGTAACTAGAGAGAAGTCAGAGCAAAAGTAGTAAGAGAGAGAGTCAAATGTATTAAGTGAACTCAGCGTGGATTACAAATGGGGAAAAGGGTATTATTTATAGTAGCAATAATTGCTAGATAGGGACACGTGTCATCATTCTGGTGGTCGAGGGGTCACCTCAACGGGATGGCACTGGCACTCGCATGTGACCGCATTAAATGCGGTGATTTGATGTGACGTTTGTACTCGGTACGTTGATCCAGCGCATGTGGGTGGGAGATTCTGTCGAGGAGATGCCTTCGACCGTAGATGATTGTCCGAAGGCTCTTCATCCCGGGGGCCTCTAGGTGCTGAGGGCTCTAGATACCGAGGGCTACTGTTTTCGCCGCTTTGTCCCAGACACTTTGAGTGCTTAAAAGCAGCTGTACTGTAAGTTTATGAGCCTTTGACCAGGGGGCCGAAGGCATCCCAGTGTTCGTCGTGGGCTGTTTGGCACTTGTGGCGCTGTGATTTGGGCCTGCTGTGCTTCCTGGGCCTATTGGGCCTTCACTATAGTAGTGGGAGTCTATGGGCCGGGGGTTCCTGCACCATATACTCCATCAGGAGTCCCTCACTCCTTTTGTCGAAAGGTACTTGAGGGAAAAGGAGTAAAATGCGTTTGTCCTCTGATGCTGGCGTTTTGCTCTGTGATTTGTGGAGTTTGTGAGGAGTTGTTGTTTGCACGTTTTGCCGAAGGCAGTCCCTCGGTCCCCCACATTCTGGGATTTGAGGGATTGGGTTGCTGTTTTTGGGAGATTTTTGATAATTTGCTTTTTTGAGATTTTCCCGAAGGGGTCTTCCAGTGCCTGTCTGCAATATGGGCCGAGGGGTAACGCTTTTCGTTTCATTTTGGGGGGACGCCTCGTTAAAAACCTCATTAGGAAAAACCCTGTGGGAAAAAATCCTAATGAGGGAAAAAGAGTGCACCGAATTCCCCCAATGATGACTCGAAAGGGTCACCCTTGGTCTAAGATGAAAGATAATATTGATGCCGAGGGGTGCCCGTGAGTTGAGGGCCTTCTTACAGGAGTTAGCCGAAGGCTGACTGTTAATATCCTGGAGGTGTCGAGGGGAGTCCCTCAGTCAGGGAGGCTGAGGGCGTGTTGACGAAAGTGATAGTTCCTTTGTGTCGAGGGAGTTTCTTAGTCGTTTGACAAACTAGGGGTTGAAGGCTCCCGCTTTTGTATGTCGGAGGCTAACCACTGGTGAGGAGTTTGAAGGTGTGACCCCGGGGGGTGTTCCCGGTTTCTCTAATTGGGGTGTAAGGGTACCCGAGGGGTCCCCTGTTGATTCAAATGTAGTGGGCTAAGGGTAACCGAGGGGTCTTCCTGGTGTTACCCGGGGGCCCATATGACATGGGGGTGTTTGAATGTAATGGACCGAGGGCCAGCCCCAAATATTTTGGGCGAATGGTGCTGAAGGAGAAAGCCCGAATGCATGTGTAATGTTGTATGAGGGGTACCGGCCGGGAGCACCTCTGTGTTTCCAAAATATAGCCGGTGTGATAAGACCGTTAGGATAAGGAACGTTGAAAATGTAGCTGTTGGAGGTGATGTCCACGTGGCGTGTAGTTGTTGGCTGGCTTCGGGCGGGTATCACCGGTTGGCGGAAAGGGGCGGCGTGTAATGATGACTTTCCATCGGGGGCCCGGTTTCTTGGCCCAAGCCCGGAGTGGGAGGCCTATAAATACACCAAGGCCAAGGCCATTCTTCTTGCGCGATCATACTGTAGTGAAGCTCTGTCGAAATTTTTCTAGAGAGAGAAACCTGCTCTCGATCAAATTCCCATTTCCAAGGTCAGTTCTCCATCTGTTCTTCGCCCTTTTAGTAAGTTTTGCTCTCCGGCCTTAGATTAGGTGTTAGAGCTCCATAGGAAGCCTTCGGTCTTTTAAACCCCCGACCCCTAGTTTCTGAAAAAAAAAATGTCGTCTGCAAGTGATTCCCAAAACGTCTCAAGGGAGCCCTCGGCTGAGGAGGAGGGTATTTCGGACGTCGAGTTTGCAAGGAGTCAGTCCTCGGGGAATGGTGATGTTGCCCTTGCTATGGAGGTCCAGAAGGACTTAGTGGCCGAAGCCGAAACGGAGGAGTTCGAACAAGTGGTGGAAGACGAGGAGATGGCCCTCGCCATGCAGACGGCCATTGAAGAGGAGGAGGAGAAGGAGAGGGAGAGGACGAGGGTTATTATTGCGGTCCCCTCCCCTCGTAATGCTGGTGAGGCGAGCAGCTCTCGGCCGCTGAACTCGACTCCTCTCAGGGTAGCCCCGGGAAGAAGAAGAAGACGAAGGCTGCCACTCCCAAGAAGAAGGGTAGCATTGTTGATCAAGGAAAACACATCGATCTGCCCGAGGGTTATTCCTTCCTTAACACTGTCGCCCTCGAGATAAAGTCGAAGGCTGACAGGGCGGAATGCTACATCACACAGCTGC